AGTGGGCCTTTGTCCCTGGACTGTGACTCTCACAAGTACTTCTCAGTCTTTCTCATTCCTGACATCAGAGCTTACAAGGATCTGGAGTTGAATGATTCCCTTCCTCTAACCAGGCTACTAAAAAACCAAACGTGTTGTCCAAGAGTTTATTCCAACTCTTGGTGACTCAATATGCATCAGAATAGAACTGCGTTATATAGGATTTCAATGACTATAAGCTTAGGAAGTAGGTTGCCAGAGCTTTGTTTTGCAGCACTGCGGGGTGGATTTGAGCTTTCAATGGTTCAGTTAATGTTATTCTGCTTTTGGTTACTAGCTGAGTGAAAACCACTTGAACTGCCCAGGGACCTCCCAATCAGTTCTGACTCATAGTGAAACCCTGTTTGAGGTTTCCAAGGAGAGGCTGGTGGATCTGAACCACTAACTTTAAGGTATCAGTTCAGTTCTTATCCTACAGCGTTACACCAGGACTCCCAAAGTAAGTTGGGCTCTGGCAAAATAGTTCCCCTTTAGGTGAAACCTTTGTTATTGAGAACAGGATGCTCTGGTTTTTAAAACGATTGCTTTCCTACTCCATCTGCTGGTATCGTTGTTGTTGTTGTTGTTAGGTGCCATCGAGTTGGTACTGACCCATAGCAACCCTATGCACAGCAGATCGAAACACTGCCCAATCCTGGGCCAACCTCACCACTGTTGTCACGCTTGAGTCCATCGATGCTGCCACTTGGCCAATCCATCTTGCTGGGGGTCTTCCTCTTTTTCTCTGACCCTCCACCTTATCAAACATGATATCCTTCTCCAGCAACTGGTCCCTCCTGACAATATGTCCAAAGTATGAGAGATGAAGTTTGGCCATCTTGGCCTCTAAGGAGCTCTCTGGCTGCACTTCTTCCAAAACAGATCTATTGGTTCTTTTGGCAGCCCATGGCACTTTCAATATTCTTCTCCAACACCATAACTAAAATGCATCAATTCGTCTATGGTCTTCCTTATTCACTGTCCAGCTTTCACATGCATATGAGGTTATTCAAAATACCATGGCTTGAGTCAGGCGCACCTTAGTCCTCAAGCTGACATCTTTGCTCTTCAGCACTTTAAAAAGGTCTTGTGCAGTACATTTGCGTAGTGGTTACAAATTGGGCTGTGAACCGCAAGGTTAGCAGTTCAAAACTACCAGCTGTTATGCAGGAGAAAGATGAGGCTTTCTGCTCCCATAAAGATTTACAGCCTTGGAAACCCTGTACATGGCACATAACCACCTCCTCCACCACCTGCTGAGTTTGTGGGGATTTTTCTCAGATCTTCACTCTGAGAAGCAGACAGGTTCCTGGAGGTAAAACTCAATAATTGTGGGAGCCCCTTTAAGGCTATGCCTCAGGAGTTGTCTTTGTTTTAATCTCTTAAACTAGTTTTTGCTTTGTCTTCATAAACTAGACAATTTTTCCCCTTGAGTGTTTCTATAACTCCACAGCTCCAATTGTGGCTTATGTTATTGATAAGTTCTTATTCTCTGGACTCAACTGCCCCTCCAGGTTTTGGACTAGTCGTTTGCCCTGTGACTTTAATTATCTGATGGATCTAAGATTGTTAATTTTCAGTTTGTTTTGTTGTTGTGAGGCTAGAAATGGTGACTTCCAGGGTCTTTACTTTTTGGAAATTGGAAGTCTGTTAAAGTACCTTTAAGTGGAGATAGCTTGATTCTCTTTTTCTTTACTATCTCTCTGGGCAGATTCCCAGTTTACGTACACTTTCTTCTTTCCGTGTATTGTAATGAAATTTCTTTAAATGGATTGAGTTGTGATTGGTTGTTATTGGTTGGAGAGGTATGAAGGCATTTCCTTTTATTTTTATAACATCCTTAATTTTTTTTTTTTTAAATAGTTTCTTGCCTTTTGCTGTCTTGCATACAAGGTTTACCTCTTCTTTCTGTGTCATTTACCCAAGGATCATTGCTTCTTTGAGGCAGTTAATTCACATTTCCCCACTTTCAAGTTCCTTCTAGCTATTGCTATAAACTACCAAGTCCTAGACTTGTATTCAGAATTTTTACACTTATTGGTTGTTAAAGATTGAATTTTGTCCCTGTGATGTAATACACCCCTTATACAGAATGCTCTCAATGAGAGATAGGTTGACACCGTAGTTGCAACAATGGATTCAAACTTACAGTTGTGAGGATGGCACAAGATCAGGCAGTGTTTTGTTGTTTTGTATGTAGGGTCTCTATGAGTCGGAACCAACTGACTTGACAGCACCTAAGTGCTCAAAGTGGGGAAATGTGAAGTAGCAGACTCATAGTGACCCTATGTACAACAGAACAAAACACTGCCTAGTCCAGCACCAACCTCACAGTCGTTGCTATGCTTGAGCCCATTGCTGCTACCACTGTGCCAATCCATCTCATTGGGGGTCTTCCTCTTTTTCTCTGACCCTCTGTGAGAAATAACTTGTTGGCATGGCCCATCTTCACAACTAGGAGAAGTTGTGGGAGTGGGTAGCAGTCTAGGATAACAAAAGTTCAGTGGAGGCGAAGAACTAGTTTGATCCACTAGAAACTTTAAAATAAGAATACAATCATCAAAGAAACAGAGAAGGTTCATAGGGAAAAGGGGAAACTATCTTTAAATGAGAATGCTCCCAATAAAGACTAGTAGATGACCTTGGGAGGAGAATGTGACCTTGTAATACCCAGTGGAAGGTGAACTGGAGGGGGCCGCTTTTTCTGGACAGGAGAATAAACTGTTTGCGGGTCTGCCATACGACTAGTCTGCCTGTGTCTACTGGGTTGGATATCCGATTTTGCAAAATCAAATCAAGGAAATCTCACTCTCGCTAAAATGAGTACAGATTGGATTACTTGAGCGTTTGTCAGTATGAACAACGTTTCTCACACTCCACTTTACCAAGAATAATGTCCTTCTCCAGTGACTGGTCCCTCTGATGTTGTTGTTGTTGTCAGGTGCCATCAAGTCGGAACCAACTCATAGCGACCCCATGCACAGCAGAACGAAACAATGTCCGATCCTGGGCCAACCTCACTACCGCCGCCATACTTGACGCCATCAATGATGTCACCTGGCTGATCCATCTCGTTGGGGGTCTTCCTCTTTTTCTCTGACCCTCCACCTTACCCAGCATGACATCCTTCTCCAGCAACTGTTCTTTCCGGACAATGTGTCCAAAGTATGAGAGACGAAGCCTAGCCATCTTGGCCTCCAAGGAGCACTCTGGTTGCACTTCTTCCAAAACAGATCTACTGGTTCTTTTGGCAGTCCAAGGCACGTTCAGTATTCTCCTCCAACACCACAACTCAAAGGCATCAATTCTTCTACAATCTTCCTTATTCACTGTCCAGCTTTCGCATCCATAAGAGGTTATTGCAAATACCATGGCTTGGGTCAGGCGCACCTTAGTCCTCAAGCTGACATCTCTGCTCTTCAATACTTTAAACAGTTCCTGTGCAGTAGATTTGCCCAATGCAATACGTCGTCTGATCTCTTGACTGCTGCTTCCATGAGTGTTGATAGTTGATCCAAGAAGATGAAGTCCTTGACAACCTCAATCTCTTCTCCATTGATAAGAATGGTAATACAGAAACGGCTACAATCATACATTGACAGAGACCTTCCAGAGGTTCAAGCTGGATTCAGAAGAGGCCGTGGAACGAGAGATATCATTGCTGATGTCCGATGGATCTTGGCTGAAAGCAGAGAATATCAGAAGGATGTTTACCTATGCTTTATTGTCTATGCGAAGGCTTTCGATTGTGTGGACCATGACAAGCTATGGACAACACTGAGAAGTATGAGTATTCCAGAACACTTAATTGTACTTCTGAGAAATCTGTACCTGGACCAAGAGACAGTTGTTCGAACAGAGCATGGGAACACTGAATGTTTTAAAATTGGGAAAGGTGTGCGACAGGGTTGTGTTCTTTCACCATTCTTGTTCAATATATATGCTGAGCAAATAATATGAGAAGCTGGGTTCTATGAAGGAAAACGTGGCGTCAGGATTGGAGGAAGACTTATTAAAACCTGAGATATGCAGATGATACAACCTTGCTTGCTGAAAGTGAAGAGGACTTAAAATATTTACTGATGAAGATCAAAGAGCACAGCCTTCCGTATGGATTACAACTCAATGTAAAGAAAACAAAAATCCTCACCACTGGTCCCTCCTGATAACATGCCCAAAATATGAGAGACAAAGTCTGGCCATCCTGGCCTCCAGGGAGCACTCTGGCTACGTTTCTACCAACACAGATTTGTTTGTCCTTTTGGCAGCCCATGGTACTTTCAATAGTCTCTTCTAACACCATAATTCAAATGCATCAATTCTTCTATGATCTTCCTGATCTTCACTGTCCTGCTTTCACATGCATATGAGGTTAATGAAAATACCATGGCTTGAATCAGGTACACCTTAGTCCTGAAACTGACATCTTTGCTCTTCAACACTTTAAAGAGGTCTTGTGCAGCAGATTTGCCTAGTGCAGTACGTCGTTTGATTTCTTGACTACTGCTTCCATGAGTGTTGGTTGTTGATCAGAGCAAACTGAAGTCTTTGACAATTCCAGTCTGTGTTAGTGACGCCATATCAGTGTAGGGCATGTTCTAAGCCTAATCACTTCTGACTGATATAAAGAGCAATATAGACCCAGAGACATGCAAAGTGGGAGAAAGATAGATGTGTGGAGATTACCAAGGAACTGAGAACAGTTGTGCCTCCAGAAGCTGAAACAAGAATGTTCCCCCTAGAGCTGGTGTCCTGAGTTCACATTTCTAGCCTCCAGAAATGTAAGAAAATCCACTTCTGTTTCGTAAAGCCATGTTTTAATGGTGACATTTCTGTGATAGCAACACTAAGACACAAAGACAGTGTTGAAGTCTTTTTTTTCTCAGGATGATTTTATCTGTATTTCCTTGTGCTTCCTGTGCCTCTCTGCTTTTCTCTACAGAATCTTGTAAGACAATTTTCTTTGCTTTCTGTTCCCACAGGCTTGCAATGGTGACAGTGATCACTGTGTTGGAATTTGGTTTGTATTTTTCCACTTATAGGAAATTTGAAGTTTGTGATGTATTGTTGTTGTTAAGTACCGTGGAGTTGGTTCCAACTCATAGTGTCCCTGCCCAGGGTTTCCGAGGATGTAAATCTTTACAGGAGCAGAAAGCCTCATCTTTCTCTCACAGAACTGCTGGTAGTTTCAAACTGCCAACCTTGAGGTTAGCAGGCCAATTTGTAACCACTACACTACCAGAGCTCCTTAGACATGGATTATTTGTACTCCTTGTTGATTTTTTTTTTTTTACTTTTGGTTCTTTTTTTTTAGAAGTTTTTATTGTGAATTATGTAATAGTTTACATGGGAGAACACCAGCTTTACATTCATCCTATCGTATTTCGTTTCATTGCAATGATTACAATCCCCTCCATGCATCATCAACCAACCAAAGGGTACACCCTGCAAGCCTGCCCCCTAACCATCAGCACACAGCCCCTCTCCCTCCCTGAGTCCAGAGTCCCCAGCTGCTCCATCTCTCCACATCCATCTCTGCCTCCATCTCTGGCATCACAGCTTCTCTGGATAGGGTCCCGCACTCCACTCCTCTCCCTTGATAGTCCTAGCACTACAATATCAACCACTCCCCTCTTTTTGTTACAAAACATCTACCTTTACATTTCAAACCCTCACAGTCAGTCCTGATAGCAGTTATTCACTATTGTACCACAAGAATCTTATCCCCATCTCCTTTCACCAACCTCATCCCAACACACTGGAAATCACTCATTGGAGATTCTACCTTTCCCTGAATCCTCTGGAACTAGACTCCCTCTTGAAAGCTTATAAGCCAGTCACTTGTTGCCTTTGTAGCTTTTTGTCTTTTTTGAGGAAGGATTTAGATTTAAGGTGGCTCTCAAATCCAATTGGAACTCTCTTCTTATAAACTTATAAAAATTACTATTATTATATTTTGTTTTGTTTTAGGCGAAGGTTTACACAGCAAATTAGGTTCTCATTTAACCATATTTATACAAATTGTTCCATAACATCAATAACAATTTTTATAACATGCCAGAATTCTCGTGATTTCTATTCTGTTTGTTTTGTTTCCATCTTTCTAGCTTCTCTTCATTTCCTTGCTTTTGGCTAAGTGTTGATTGTTTGGTCTCATATGAGGAACACACTACTCACAGGTAATGTTGTTCACTTTATAACCCAGTCTATTATTTGACTGAAAGTTGGCCAGTAGAAATCATTTAAATTAAAAATTCAAAGGGTATCTTAGGGTGATAGTCTCAGGGATTTCTTTAGTCTCTATTAAGTCTAGTAGGTCTAACCTTTTTAAAGAATTTGAGTTTTGTTCGACATTTCCCTCCCACTTTATCTGGGAATCTCCTTATAAATGTTTCCCTGTATGTTCAAGTTCTTAAAAACTGAAAAACCTCATTCATTGTACATACTTTTTTCTCATGATTCTCTTAATGATTTTGTATTTAATTGTATTTATGTTTGTTTTCTCTGCTAACTTACTGATAAATTTAACGGGGATAAGGATGCTGATTTTAGTTATATTATTACCACTGCCTGGACTTTGTTGTGAAGTGCCATCTAGTCGGTTCCGACCCAAAGCGACCCTGTATAGGGTTTTCAAGGAGCAGCTGGTGAGCTTGAACCGCCAACCTTGCAGTTCAAATGGCTTTGCGGTCTGGTACATTAACCCACAGTGCCACACCAGGACTCCACTGTCTGGACTAGTACTTGGTATTTACTAGATACTGAAAATATTTGTTGAATTGAAGTAAACTTTTATCTAAGTAACCTCTTCCTCTCCTTCTGAAGTTGTAATTTATTTACATTATAGATACTGAAAAACACTTTTAAACGAGAGGAGAAAAAAGAAAAGGAAGCAACACTTGAGATGCCAACTTTGGTGCCTTTTGGTGATGTGGTAAGAATAATTAGCCTTCAAATAATTTATGCAAATTATTTTTATATGAAAAGTTGTTGGTATTTATTATTTAGTAATAAAATTGTCATTTTAGTAATATATTCATAAATTTTAATTTTTATTAAAATGGGCATGTGATAGCTTTTTGCAGTGCTTAGTTTACACAATTTCTCTCTGAAAGTTTTGTGGTTTATTCTGAAGAGTTGGATAACATTCAAATGATTACTGAAATAGCAGAGAACATCCTGGTTCATAGAAATAATGTATTCTATATATTAAGTAATAAGGAGCTCTGGTAGCATAGTGGTTACGAATCAGACTGTGAACCTTAGGGTCAGCAGTTTGAAACTACCAGCTGTACTGCAGGAGAAAGATGAGATTTTCTGCTCCTGTAAAGATTTACAGCCTCAGAAACCCTGCATAAGATTGCTATGAGTCAGAACCGACTCCATGTCACATAACCACCATCACCATATTAAGTGTTACAAAACTTCATACTTATCAGAATCACCTGGGACATTTTTAAAAATACTGATTTCTTGGGTTCTTCCTAAAAATCTAAGGAGCTCTGGTAGCTTAGTGGTTACAAGCTGGGCTGCTAACCTTAAGCTCAGCAGTTTAAACTACCAGCCATTCTTCAGGAGAAAGATAAGACTTTCTGCTCCTGTAAAGATTTATGGCCTCGGTAACCATATAAAGGGTCGCCATGAATTGGAACCAACTCCACGGCACACCACCACCACCTAAAATCTGGAGTACTGGTGTGGCACTGTCGGTTAATGTGCTGGACTGCAAGGTCAGCGGTTCAACCTCACCAGCCACTCCTTAGAAACCCTATATAGTGTCTCTACGAGTTGGAACTGACTCGACTGCACTTAACAACAACAACAACCTAAAATCTGCTTAATCATAATCTGAGGGTGGGAGTTAGTATTTTTATTGAGCTCTTCAAGTGATTTTATTGTCATATTTAGGAACCTTTGAGCTACAGTTTGAAAACTGATTCCCACCCTTCTACCCAATCAAAAACCCCAAAACAAAAGCAGGCACACTCATCACTCACAGGCATATACACAGACATATACACTGAGGCAGGACCAAACATCTAGGCTGAGAACCAGAAAAATGTGTTATTCTGTTTTGGGTGCTTCAGAGTGTAGAGCTCCATGATCTATGTGAATTTAGAATCATTAAATGTTGTAGGATTTTTTTTACTTCAGAATGCTATTAGAATAGTTGATGACTATAAAATAAATATTTCTTGTTCCTGTTTCTATTTCCTATCATATGTAAATTTGCTTTCTTGACTTTAAAATGTGTGATAAATTGAACACTAGCTTTTGCGGGGGAGACTATTAAAATACACATTTTTGTTTTTAACGCAAGACCATGGCATACATTTATCCACATAACTATATAAAAATTTCTTCCCTATATTATAGTCAAAGTTGGCCTTTGTCATGTATCAAATTGCATCCTCCCAAAAATGTGTGTCAACTTGGCTATGCCGTGATTCCTAGTATTGTGTGATTATCCCCCATTTTGTGATGTGTTGTAAATCCTAACCACAGCAGGATTGTTGTTTATTGCTATATACTGTCTAGTCAGTTCCGACTAATAGTAATCCTGTATAGGCTGGTGAGTTTTCAAAGCTTTAAAACTTTACAGGAGTAGAAAGCCTCATCTTTCTCAGGTGGCACAGCCAGAGGGCTCAAACCTTGGACGTTATGGTGCACTATCCAGTGCTTATCTTATGAAGTTACCACAGGATTTGTTGTTGTTGTTAAGTGCCGCCAAGTAGGTTGTGACTCATAGTGACCCTATACAGGGTTTCCGAGGAGCGTCTGGTGAGTTTGAACCGCTGACCTTTCAATTCAAAGGACCTTGCAGTCTAGTGTTTTTCTTACATGTAGTGCCATACTGCTATTGTTGTTGTTAAGTGCCGTTGAGCCATTTCTGAACCATAGCAACCCTGTATAGAACCTTGTGGTTCAAACGACTTTGCAGTCCAGTGCATTAACCCACAGTGCCACACCAGGACTCCATACTACTTTTGTTGTTGTTAGCTGCCATCAAGTTGGTACCAACTCATAGAACCCTATGCACAACAGAAAGAAACACTGCCCAGTCCTGGGCCAACCTCACAATTGTTGCCGTACTTGAGCCCATTAATGCTGCCACTTTGACAATCCATCCCGCTGGGGATCTTTCTCTTTTTCTCTGACCCTCCACCTTACTAAACATGATATCTTTCTCCAGCAACTGGTCCCTCCTGACAATATGTCCAAAGTATGAGAGACAAAGTTTGGCCATCCTGACTTCCAAGGAGCACTCTGCCTGCACTTCTTCCAACACAGATCTGTTGTTTCTTTTGGCAGCCCAGGGCACTTTCAATATTCTCCTCCAACACCATAACTCAAAGGCATCAATTCTTCTACAGTCTTCCTTAGTCATTGTCCAGATTTCTCATGCATATGAGGTTATTGAAAATACTATGGCTTAGGTCAAGCACACCTTAGTCCTCAAGCTGACATGTTTATTTTTCAACAGTTTAAAAACTTCTTGTGCAGCAGATATGCCTAATGCAATACGTTGTTTGATTTCTTGACTGCTGCTTCCATGAGTATTGATAGTTGATCCAAGAATGAAGTTCTTGACAACTTCAGTCTTTCTCTGTTGATAAAAATATTGCTTATTGGTCCAGTGGTGAGGATTTTTGTTTTCTTTACATTGAGATGCAGTCCATACTAAATAAAGGCTATGGAGTTTGATCTTCATCAGGAAGTATTTTAAGTCCTCTTCACTTTCAGCAAGTAAGGTTGTGTCATCTGCATATCGCAGGTTGTTAATGAATCTTCATATAACCCAACTTCTTGGATTATTTGCTCAGCACACAAGTTGAATAAGTATGGTGAAACAATACAACCTTGTCGCACACCTTTTTTAATTTTAAACCATTCAGTGTTCCATGTTCTGTTTGAACAGCTGCTTCTTGGTTCATAAACAGATTCCTCATAGGCACAATTAAGTGTTCTGGAATATTCATACTTTGCAATGTTGTCCATATCTCATCATGATCCACACAATCGAAAGCCTTTGCATAGTCAATAAAGCACAGGTAAACATCTTTCTGGTATTCTCTGCTTTCAGCCAAGATCCATTGGACATCAGCAATGATATCCCTTGTTCCACAGCCTCTTTTGAATCCGGCTTGAACATCTGGAAGTTCTCTGTCAATGTAGGCTTGCAGCCATTTCTGTATTACCTTTAGTAAAACTTTACTTTCATGGGATATCAAAGATATTGTCCAATGATTTCAAATTCCATTAGGTCACCTCTCTTTGGAATGGGCACAAATATGGATTTCTTCCAATCAGTCGGCCAGATAGTTGTCTTCCAAATTGCTTAGTATAGATGAGTGAGTGCCTCCAGTGCTACCTCACTTTCTTGAAAGATTTCAATTTTTATTCCATCAATTCCTGGTGCCTTGCTCTTTGCCAGTTCCTTCAATGTACCTTGGACTTCTTCCTTCAGTATCATTGGCTCTTGATCATATGCTATCTCTTGAAACAGTTGAACATCAACCACATCCTTTTGGTACAGTGACTCTGTGTATTCCTTCCATTTTCTTTTGATGCTTTCTGTATCATTCAATAATTTGCCCAGACATTCCTTCAATAACGAAAGTCAAGGCTTGAATTTTTTGTCCAGTTCTCCCAGCTTGAGAAATGCTGAGCATGTTCTTCCTGTTTGGTTTTCTGACTCCAGATCGTTGCACATTTTGTTGTAATATTTGACTTTGTCTTCTCAAGCGGAATTTTTTTTTCCTGTTCAGCTTTTGTACCTCCTCATTTCTTCCATTTGCTTTCACATCTCTACACTGGCGAGCAAGTTTCAGTGTCTTTTCTGACATCCATTTTGATATTTTCCTTCTTTCTCGTCTTCTTAATGACTTTTTTGCTTTCTTCATGTATCATGTTCTCGATGTTATCCCACAACTCTTCTGGTCTTCGGTCTTTAGTGATTAATGTATCAAATCTGTTCTTCAGATGATCTCTAAATTCAGGTGGGATATTTTCAAAGTCATATTTTGGCTCTCTTGGACAATGGTCCTTAGTAGAGACTGAATGCTGAACCATGGGTCACCAAGTCACTGCAGCCTGAGCTGCTTATCATGAACTGGATGTTGTCTGACCCACAGAGTCATAAAGTTGGATGTTCACAGTACCCCTCATTATTGAACCAAAGTAGTATAAATGTGATCAGGTTCAAGCAGGACCTGACGTTACATTAGGAAGTGGCCCAAATACACATAATCCTCACCTCTGTCACATTGCCTTCTTTATCCCAGTCTGCATCTATGGTCTCCTAGGAAGTTCCTTATCATTAATTGTCTGAGGAAGGGAAAACCCATGCTTAGTTTACAGAAGGCTCTGCATGATATGCAGGCACCACCAGAAAGTGGACATCAACTATACTGCTGCCCCTTTCTGAGGTTTCCCTGAAAGACAGCGATGAACGGAAATCCTCCCAGTGGAAAGATCCTTGAGCAGTGCACCTAGTTTTTCATTTTGCTTGGAAGGAGAGAGGGCACGATGTTCAATTGTATACTGATTCATAGAGTGTGGCCAGTGGTTTGACTGGATGGTCAGAGACTAGGAAGGAACATGGTTGGAAAATTGGTGAGAAGGAGGAATGGGGAAGAGGCACGTGGATAGACTTCTCTGAATCGGCAAAAAAAGTAAAGATATTTGTGTCTCATGCTAATGCTCACCAAAGGATTGTCTCAGTAGAGGATTTTAGCAATCAAGGGGAAAAATGGAAATCCTCACCCCAACCACTCCTCTCATTATCCAATGGGTTCATGAGCAAAGTTGCCATGGTGGCAGGGATAAAGGTTATATAGATTCAACAGTATGGATTTCTGTTCACCAAAGCTGACGTGGCTACAGTTACTGCTGAGTGTGCTATCTGCCAGCAGCAGAGAACAACACTGATTTTCAGAGACATCAGCCAGCAACATGGTGGCAGGTTAATTATATCGAGCTGCTTCCATCATGGAAAGGGCAGTGCTTTGTACTTACTATAACAGGCCTTTACTCTGGACATGGATTTGCCTTCCTTGCATGCAGTGTTTCTGCCAAAACTACCATCCGTGGACTTTTAGAATGCCTTATCCATCATCATGGTATCCTACACAGCATTATCCCAGATCAAGGGATTCACTTCACAGCAAATGGAATGCAACAATAGCCCCATGCTCATGGAATTCACTGGTCCTTAACATGTTCCCCATCATCCTGAAACAGCTGGCTTGATAGAAGGACAGAATGGCCTTCAAAAGACACAGTTACAATGCTAGCTAGGTGACAGCACTTTGCAGGGTTGGGACAGTGGTCAGCAACTTATGGTGCTGTTTCTCCCATAGCCAGGATTCATGGTTCCAGGAATCAAGGGGTGGAGATAGAGTGGCACCACTCACTATTACCACCCTTAGTGACCCACTCGAAAAATTTTTACTTCATGTCCCCATGATGCTATACTCTGCAGCAGGACTTGAAGTCTTAGTTACAAAGGGAGGAATGCCTGGAGAAATCATGATTCCATCTAATGGAAGTTAAGAATATTCCCTGACCACTTTGGGCTCCTGCCTCTAGATCAACAGGCAAAGAAGCGAGTTATATTGGTTGTGTGACTGACCTTGACTACTAAGTAAATCAGACTGATGTTACACAATGGAGTTAAAAAGGAATATCTCTAGAATATAGGATTTGCTAACCCCTGATGCCCTGTGAGCCAGCAGCTGCCATCTGACCTGCCAATTTTGGTTTCATAGGCCTCTGTAATCATGTGAATCAGAAGAAGACTCCAGTCTGATGCCTGACTCACAGATTTTGGACTTACCCATGTTTACAACTGTGTGAGCAATTTCCTTGAGATTAATCTTCCTCTCTTTCTGGGGAGGAAGGCAACTATCACTCCATTTATTTTCAAAACTTTTCATCACCCCAGATAGAAACACTGTACCTATTAACCAGTAACTCTTCATTCCTACTACTTCGCTTTTTGTTTTCAGACTGTTGTTGTTAAGTGCGGTTGAGTCAGTTCCGATTCACAGTGATTCTGTGTAGGGTTTCTGAGGAGAGGCTGGTGAGCTTGAATAACCAACCTTGTGATTCAAACCGACCTTGCAGTTCAGTGCATTATCCTGTAGCACTACACCAGAACTATATATGTGGTTAATACTGAATATTGTTGTTGTTCAAGTGCCATCGAATCAGTTTTGACTCATGGCAACTCTATATACAATAGAATGAAACACTCCCAGTACTGCATTATCCTCACAATTGTTGTTTGAGCCAATTGTTGCAGCTGCTGTGTCAGTTCCTCTTTTTTGCTGACCCTCCATTGATCAAACATGATGTCCATTTCCAGGAACTTTACTGATAACATGTCCAAAGAACATAGAACATGCTGCATATTAGTATTTAATTGTTACTCCATTCATTTTGTATTTGGTTTTGTGATGAAACACAAGACACAATTTTCCTTAACATTTAGAAATACCACTTCCTAGAGGGAATGACCATTTCATAGCTTATGGCATATTATAGTTTAATGAATGTTGAATGATTAAAGTGGCTTTAGGATTTTAGATAAAAGAGATGATCTGAAATTCTGCATTTGATCAGTTCTCAAGCAATATAAAAACATTTCAAAGAGTACTGGTCAAATTTAAGTTGATAATGAACCATTGTTTTGCTTTACATTCTTATTCATTTTAAGTTTACTTTGAATAAATCCTGCCTAATTTTCTTTCTGTATTTGCTTTCTAATGCTTTCTACTTGCTAGATATTTCTAATTAAAAACATTTCTAATGAGAAAAATCAACAAAAAAGTGGAATTTTATTTTTTTAAGATATATTTCTGTATAGAGTAAAATGGAAGATAAGTTAACTTTTTTACATATTCACTATTTGTGTTCTTATTTTGATTGTTCTAGGTTGGCTGCCTGGCTATTCATATAAAGAACTGCAGACATTTTACACCTAAGAGTATCCTTTCTTTTGATTTAAGAACTGTAGCATGGTTATATATCACTGTTTCAGTACCTGTTGGTGTGTTACAAGTCACTCCACAACTTAGAGGCTGAAAACATTATCTATTTTCCTATCATTCATGATTCTGTGCATTGATTCAATAATACTTCTATGTTATCATAACTGGGACAATAGTCATCTGTCAATTCAACTGGGTTGGAATATCTAAAATGGTGTGTGTTTGACTCCTTGGCAGGGGGCCTGGAAGACTGGACTCAGGTTGGATTTTGGAATGGCTGGACCTTTCTCTTTTTGCGTGTAGTCACAGGACTTTTCATTATTACTATTTCTTTTTCCGCCACTTTTCTGTCAGTTTCTCGTACTGTGGTGGCTAGTTAGCGTTAATGACGTGGATGGAGCAAAGCCTTTGGAACTTTCATTTGCTGATGTAGCACAACTCAAAATGAGAAGAAACAACTGCAAGCATCCATTAATAATCAGAACATGGAGTGTGCTAAGTACAAGTCTAAGAAAATTGGAAGTTGTCAAAACTGGAATGCAGTGCATAAAGATTAGAAATAGGCATTAGCGAGCTGAAATGGACTGGTGTTGGTCATTTTGAATCTGAAAAACTGATAAACTACATGGTTTACTATGCCAGTAGTGCCAAATTGAAGAGGAATGGCATCACATTGATCATCAAAAAGATCTATCTTGAAGTATAATACTGTCTGTGATAGGATAATATCCATATGTTTACAAGGAAGACCAGTTAATATCACCATTATTCAAATTTACACACCAACCACTAAAGCCAATGATAGTGAAATTGAAGAATTCTGCCAACTTTTTCAGCCTGAAATTGATCAAATATGCAATCAAGATGTATTGGTAATTACTGGTGATTGGAATGCAAAGGTTGGAAACAAAGAGGAAGGATCAGTCGTTGGAAAATATGACCTTGATGATAGAAACAATGTTGGCAATCACATGATAGAATTTTTCAAGGCCAACAACTTATTCATTGCAAGCAGTGTCTTTAAACAACATGAAAGGTGACAATACACATAGGCCTCACCAGATGGAATACACAGGAATCAAATTGAATACATCTGTGGAAGGAGAAGTTCACTATAATCAACCAAAACAAAGTCGGGGCCAACAGTGGAACAGACCATCAACTGCTCATATGCAGGTTCAGGCTGAAGTTGAAGAAATTGTTTTAAAGTCCACGAGAGTCAAAATATGACCTTGAGAATATCCCACCTGAATTTAGAGACCATTTTCAGAATAGAGTTGATGTGTAAGACACTAATGACCCCAAACTAGAGAAGTTATGGGATGACATCAAGAACATCGTACAGGAAGACAGCAAAAGGTCATTTACAAAGATGGGAAAAAAAAAAAGACCAAAATGGATGTCAGAAGAGACTGAAACTTACTCCTGAACTTGGAGAAGGTAAAACAAATAGAAGAAATGAAGATGTAAAAGAGCTTTACAGAAAATGTCAAAAGGTAACAAAGACAGAATATTATAATGGAATGTGCAAAGACCAGGAGCTAGAAAGCCAAAAGGGGAGAACATGCTCAGCATTTCTCAAGTGCAATAACAAAAGAAAAAATTCAAGTCTCAGGTTACAATATTGAAGGATTCTCTGGGTAAAATATTGAATGATGCATGAAGCATTAAAAGAAAATGCAAGGATCAGGGCAAGTGGTCAGGTCCCCTCAGGGGAAGCCCCCTTCCAAGACTAAAACTCAAGGGGAATACAAGAGCAGGCATGTGGTCTTTCTGGTGACCACATTGGTCTACCTATAAGGGGAAGTGAGGAAAAAACAGCAATGAAGTTGTGAGCTAAGTCCAACTACATTCAACAGACTCCTGTCCACCTGGATTGAGACCTGGAGTTGGCCAGCAGTATGGCGAGACCTGGGGACTTCTGGACCCAGGGACAGGGACATGACCACAGAGGACTAGAGTATAAAGTGAAGCATCCAGCTGATGTGAAGTGAGGGGAGATAAACAGGTTGGAAAAGATTCATATTTGTGTTCATTCCAAAGAAAGGTGACCCAATGGAATGCCAAAACCACTGAACAATATAATGAACATCACATGCAAGTAAAATTCTGTTAAACATAATCCAAAAACAGATGCAATAAATAATACATCGACAGAGATCTGCCAAAAATTCAAGCTAGATTCAGAAGAGGATATGGATTGAGATGTATCATTGCTGATGTCAGATGGATCTTGGTTGACAGCAGGGAATACCAGAAAGATGTTTGCTTTCTTTCTTTAACTATGCAAAGGAGCTCCACTGTGTGGATCATAGCAAACTGAGGATATCATTGCAAAGAATGGGTATTCCATAACATTTAATTGTGCTCACAGACCAAGAGGCAGTCCTTCAAATAGAATAAAGGGATACTGAATGAATTAAAATCAGAAAAGGTGTGCACCGGGGTTGTATCCTTTCAGCAATTCAGTCTGCATGCTAAAGCAAATATTCTGAGAAGATGCATTATATGAACATGGCAACAGAATTGGAGGAAGACTCATTAACAACCCTTGATCTACAGATAGCACATCCTGGCTTGCTGGAAACAAAGAGGACTTGATGAAGATCAGAGACTACAGCCTTCAGTATGAATTGCACCTCAATGTAAAGAAAACAAAATTCCTCACAATGGGACCAACAAATAACATTATGATAAGTGGAGAAAAGATTGAAGTTGCCAAAGACTTCATTTGCTTGGATCCACAATCAACACTCATGGAAGCAGCAGTCAAGAAATCAAATGACACATTGCATTAGATAGATTTGCTACAAAAGAACTCTTTAAAGTTTTGAGGAGTAAAGATGTCACTAAGGATTAAGGTGCATTTGAACTAAACCAGGGTACTTAAGTCACCTCATACAGAGAGACTTCATCTGTCATACTTTAGACATGTTGTCAGGAAGGACCAAACCCTGGAGAATATCTTGCTTGGTAAAGTGTAAGGTCTGCAAATAAACAGGAAGACCCCCAATGTGAAGGACTAACACAATAGCAGCAACAATGGACCCAGACATAACAACAATTGTGAGGATGGTGTAGGATTGGTCAATGCCTTGTTCTGTTGTGCATAGTGTAGGTTGTTGTGCTGGTAGAGAGGTAAAGGGAGGGTTAATTTTTATTACAGAAAGTGCATAAAATATTAATTTGATTTTTAAAGGTTTGGAAATATTTTGATTACTGAAGTTTTTGGCATCCTCTTAAATAAGTTCCTCACTTATCCCACCCTAGGCCTGGACCTAGTCACTTTCATTGCATTCTGTTGCTTACAGCAGTCACAGAGCCAGCCCAGATTCAAGGGCAGGGGAAATAAACTCCACTTTATTATGTGGAAAAAATGACAAAAGATTTTAGCCATCCACCTCAATCACCAGAATATAAGTTAAAATGATAATATATATATTTTGAGTGGAAATTCCAATTTATTTATAAGTAATAATTGTGCTTCATTTAGAAATTTAAAAAAATGATTTATTGTATGTTGGTTCTTTTAAATAAACTGAATGCTTATTAGATTTTTTATAGTACTTAACAACAACAACAAACACCTCATTATGGAGACTTTTTATGTGTTTTTTTTTCACATAGAGGTGTATTAGAATTCTTTATAATAATAATTTGCTGTAAAAAGAATTCTCTATAACTCTCTCTAAAACAAAATTGTTTTCATGCATGGAGTGCTAAGAAAACAATAGCAATATGGATCAATATAGTGTAAGTGACCACCATTTTGTCAGTCAGTTTGTTTTACTGTGGTGGCTTGCATGTTTCTGTGATGCAGGAAGCTATGCTACCAGTATTTTAAATACCAGCAGTGTCACCCATGATGGGTAGGTTTTAGCTGAGCTTCCAGACTAAGAAAGATTAGGAAAGATAAGAGAAAGAGGCAGACTACTTCAGAATGTTTAGCCACTGAAAAACTTATGAATAGCAGTGGAACACTGTCAAATAGCATCATAATATTGAAACATGATGAATAAAACCAGAATATTGTCAGATATGGTGCTGGAAGATGAGCCTCTTAGGGTGGAAGATGAGCCTCTTAGTCATATTAAAATATGACTGGAGAAGAGCTGCTTCCTCAAGGTAGAGTTGATTGTGATGACACAAACGGGGTAAAGCTTTCAGAACCTTCTTTTGCTGACGGGATACTACTCAAAATGAGGAGGAATAGCTGCAAACATCCATTAACAATTGGAACATGGAATGTATATGAAGTTAAACCTAGGAAAATTGGAAATTGTCAGATATGAAATGGAAGGCAATAAACATCGATATCCTAGGCATTAGTGAGCTGAAATGGACTGGTGTTGGCCATTTTAAATCTGACAACCACATGGTTTACTGTGCCGGGAATGACAAATTGAAGAGGAATGGTGTCACATTCATCATAATAAAGAACATATCAAGATCTGTCTTGAAGTATGATACTATCTGTCATAGGATAATATTCAGAAGACCGTTAATACCACTATTATTCAAATTTATGCACCAACCACTAAAGCCAGTAATGAAGAAATTGAAGAGTTCTACCAAATTTTTCAGTCTGAAATTGATCAAACATGCAATCAAGATGTTTTGGTGATTGGAATTCAAAGGTTGGAAACAAAGAGGAAGGATCAGTAGTTGGATACTGTGGCCTTGGCGGTAGAAATAATGCTGCAGATCGTATGATAGAATTTTGCAAGACCAATGATTTCTTCATTGCAAATACCTTTTTAAAGTAACAAAAAAGATGGCCATACACATGGACCTCACCAGATGGACTACACAGAAATCAAATTGACTACATCTATGGAAAGAGACAGTAGAAAAGCTCCATGTTGTTGTTATTGGTAGGTGCCTTCGAGTTGGTTCCAACTCTAAGCGACCCTGTATAGGGTTTCTGAGGAGCAGCTGGTGAGTTTGAATTGCATTATCCAACAACACCACTCCACATTACCAGCCAAAACCAGGCCAGGGGCAGACTGTGGAACAGACCATCAATTGCTCACATGTAAGTTCAGGCCGAAGCTGAAGAAAATTAAAACAAGCCCAAGTCCATAAGAGCCAAAATATGATCTTGACCATATCCTACCTGAATTTAGATATCATCTGAAAAACAGATTTGATGCATTAACACTAATGACTGAAAACCAGGAGAGTTGTGGGATGACATCAAGAACATCATATAGGAAGAAAGCAAAAGGTCATTAAGAAGAAAAGAGAGAAGGAAAAGTCCAAAACGGATTTCACAAGAGACTCTGAAACTTGTTCTCCAGTGTAGAGATGGTAAAGCAAATGGAAGAAATAAGGTAGTAAAAGAGCTGAACAGACAAATTTAAAGGGCAGCTCAAGAAGACAAAGCCAAATGTTATGATGAATACTGCAAAGACCTAGAGTTAGAAATGAAAAAAGGAAGGACATGCTCAAAACTTCTCAATTTGTGGAAACTGAAGAAAATATTCAAGTCCCAACTTTTGGGATATTGAAGGATTCTATGTGAGTCCTGGTGTGGCACTGTGGGTTAAAGCACTGGACTGCAAAGTCGGTTTGAACTGCAAGGTTGGTGGTTCAAGCTCACCAGCCGCTCCTTGAAAATCCTATACAGGGTTGCTATGGGTCAGAACCGACTCGACAACACTTAACAACAACAACAAATAGACAAATTACTGAATGATGCAGAAAGCATGAAAAGAAGATGCGAGAAATACACAGAGTCACTGTACCAAAAAGAAATGGCTGCTGTTCAACCATTTCAAGAGGCAGCATATGATCAAAAGTCAGTGGTACTGAAGGAAGTCCAAGGTGCACTGAAGACATTGGCAAAGAACAAGGCTCTAGGAATTGATGAAATACAAATTGAAATCTTTCAATCTTGATTGCATCAACCAACTGATGGACTGGAGGCACTCATTATTTATGCCAAGAAACATGGAAGACTGATAGGAGGAGATGTATATTGTACCAATTCCAAAGAGAGATGATGCAATGGAATGCAGAAATCATCAGACAATATCATTAGTATCACATACAAGTAAAGTTTTGCTAAAGATAACTAAAAAATGGCTGCAACAGTACATTGACAGGGAACTACCAGAGGGTCAAGCTGGGTACATAAAAGTACATGAAATAAGGGATGTCATTGTTGACATCAAATGAATATTGGCTGAAAGCAGAGAGTACCAGAAAGATGTTTACCTGTGCTTTATTGACTATGCAAAGGCTTTCGATTGTGGGTGTCATAACTAGCTATGTACAATGGCAGACAATGAGTATTCTGGAACACTTAATAGTGCTCATAAGGAACCTGTACGTAGACCAAGAGGCAGTTATTTGAACAGAACAGAGGCACACTGAGTGGTGTAAAATCAGGAAAGGTGTGTGCTAGGGCCATATTCTTTCACCATGCTTATTAAGTATGTATGCTGAGCAAATAATCCGAGAAACTTGATTATATGAAGAAGAACGTGGCACCTAGACTCAATAACAACCTGCAATATGCAGATGGTACAACCTAGCTTGCTGAAAGTGAAGAGAACTTGAAATACTTACTGATGAAGATCTAAGACCATAGACTTTGGTACTGGTTGCACGTACATGTTAAAAACACACAAATATCATCACTACTGGACCAATAAATAACATCATGATAAATGGAGAAAAGTCATGATAAATGTCCAAGACTTGGACATGATAAATGTCCAAGACATCATTTTGCTTGGATCCACTATCAACACTCATGGAAGCAGCCGTCAAGAAATCTAAGGGTGTATTGCATTAGGCAAATCTGTTGCACAAGATCTCTTTAAAGTGTTGAAGAGCAAAGATGTCTGTTTGAGGACTCAGGTGCACCTGACCCAAGCCATGGTATTTTCAATAACCTCATATGTATGTGTCCTGGCATGGTGTGGTGGGTTAATGCACTGGACTGCAAAGTTGGTTTGAACTGCAAGTTCAGCAATTCAAGCTCACCAGCCACTCCATGGAAACCCTTTTTAGGGTTGCTATGAGTCATACTGGCTCGAATGTACTTAACAAGAACAACAACATATGCATGTGAAAGTTGGACAATGAATAAGGAAAGTCATAGAAGAACTGATGCATTTGAGTTACGGTGTTAGAGAAGAATGTTAAAAGTACCATGTACTGCCAGAACAAACAAATGTGTGTTGGAAGAAGTACAACCAGAATGCTCCTTAATGCCAACCAAGAATCGTCTACCCAGCAAAGCTGCCAATCAAATACGAGGATGCAATCAAAGCATTCCAGGAAAATGGAAGCTACGGGACTTTATCAAAGCCAACCTAGCTCTTCAAAATATCCTAAAGAGAGTTCTTTGGACTGAGAACCATCAAAAACAGACAACAAACAAAGAATGACATACGTGACAGCACCAACCGAAACTCAATTGACAGATGGAAGAATACAGAAGAGAACAAAACTACAAGAATGAATTCAGAGGTCAGTCTGTGATTAAAACAATTACAATGTGAAAGAAGGGGAAAATATAGGAACAGAGATCCAGGTGATGAGCAGGTCAGGTAGACTGTAGGATAAAACAGAATGCTCCTTAGAAGCCAAGATGGCCAGACTTTGTCTCTTACTTTGGAAATATCATCAAAAGGGACCAGTACCTGGAGAAGGACATTGTGCTTTTTAAAATGAAGGGTCAGCGAAAAAGAGGAAGGCCCCCAAACAGATGAATTGACACAGGGACAGCAGCAATGGGCACAAGCTTAGCAATGGAAACATGAGAACTAAAATTTAAGATGTGGTCTAAGGAAGGATAATTTTTTCCTACTTGTATTGTGCTTACCAGTGATGGTCAAAAATCCTATTTTAATTGACTTTTTAATTTTTAATATGCTTTATAATTAAGTTTTGGATGAAATTGTTTAGTGTATTAATTTTATAATGTGTTATTGCTCAATTGCACCATGGCTTGCTTCCTATATATCATTCTCTTTTCAGTCATTTTAACACCGCGTTGCACTAATTTGTTCATTCGCATCACTATCAACAATGTTGTGAAATGTACAAAAATTTGTACCTTGCTATTCAAAAGCACTGAAAAGAGCATAGCCAAGTTTGATGAAGTGAAGTATTTTTCTGTGCAGGTAAATTTTAAAGTTCTCCTCTCTCTATTGGAATGTATCTAAAGTTTCAAATATTCTATGTTATTGACATCTTTTTTAAAAAAGTGGATAGGAAAGAAAAGTAGTGCCTTTTTGTTTGGTATTTTACAATATTCCTTTTTTTTACTATGGGTTATGTTTGTCTTTTTCTATAAATGTTGTTGTTGTTCAGTGTCTTCAAGTCTGTTCGACTCATGGAGACCCTGTATAGGGTTTCCAAGGAGCAGCTGGTGAGTTTGAACCACCAACCTTGTAATTCAAATTTACTTTGTGGTTCAGTGCATTATCCTGCAGTGCCACACCAGGATTCCTTTTATATAAATAGTTCACTGTAAAATTAGTAATCTTGGTGGACTTCGTCTCTCAATTGTTATTTCCTGTGGTCTTGAGTGTTTATTACACATGTATTTTTCTTTAAATACTCTTTCCCTCTCTTCTACCCTCCACCTATTTATTTTTTATCTTCTTTCCCTTCCCTCCTCTCCTGCATTGTGTTCTCCTAATGTAGATGCAAACATACATTGTCTTTATGAATATAGAATATAAGTGAGTTGATTCATACTCATGGCAGCCCTGTATAGGGTTTCCAAGACTGTAAATCTTTACAGGAGCAGAAAGCTGCATCTTTCTTTTTTGGAGTAGTTGGTGGGTTTGAACTGTTGACCTTGTACTTGGAGTTAACAGTTTGATGCTTATCCTACACCAGGACACTTTCTCTCGCTTTAGATATATGTATGTATAAGGTAGATATATATCTAGATAGAGAGATAGATAGACATCAATAATGTTGTTGCATGCCATGAAGTTGGTTCTAACTCATAGCAACGCTGTATAGAGTTTCCAAGGAACAGCTGGTGAGTTTGAACCGCTCACCTTGCAGTTCAAACCGACCTTGAGGTCCAGTGCTTATCCTACAGCGTCACATCAGGAGTATGTGTATATGTATGTATATATATATACATACACACACAGACACACACACACATATGTATATATATATATATATATATATTGAGAGAGAGAGAGTCAAAAATTATCCACACTCTGGTTATATTAAAGCGTTCATACATGTCTGCGGCTGATGACAACATTGAGTGTGCACATGAAATGATTCTGTCGAATAGACAAGTGACAGTGCATTATGTGGCATTATTTACAAATCAGCCATGGCTCTGCCTATGAAATAATCCACGACAGACTTGAGTTTCGAAAAGTTTGTGCGAGTTGGGTATGGAAACAACTCACAGAAGAGCATAAGCAGAAGTATTTGAACATCTGCAAACAAAATTTTGACTGATACTAGAAGGAAGGTCAAAGTTTCTTTAAAGAAAAAAATCATTACAGGTGACAAGACATGGGTTCATCACTGCAAGCCTGAGAGTAAATGGCAGAGTATGGAATGGAAACATCTTCAATCACTGATGGAAAAAAGAGTTCAAAAGTCATCCATCAATTGGAAAATTGATGCTTACTGTTTTCTGGGATTCTCAAGGACCGGTGTTAAAACACTATCAGGAAAAAGTTCAACAATCAACAGTGCTCGTTACAGTGAGATGTTCACTGAAGAACTGAAGCCTAAGCTTCAGATTAAATGCAGAAGACTGTTATCCTTCTTCAGGGACTGGTCCTTCCTGACAACATGTCTGAAGTATGAGAAAGAAGTCTTGCCATCTGGCTTCTAAGGAGCACTCTGGCTGCACTTCTTCCAACACAGATCTATTTGTTCTTCTGGCAGTCCATACTTTTAATATTTTTCTCCAAGTGCACATAATCCAAGTGCATCAATTCTTCTACAGACTTCCTTATTCATAGTTCAGCTTTCATATGCATATGAGGCCATTGAAAACACCATGGCTTGGGTCAGATGCAGGATAGTTCTCAAACTGGTATCTTTGCTTTTTAACACTTTAAAGAGCTCTTTTGCATTTCCCTAATGCAATATGTTGTTTGATTTCTTTCTTTCTCTCTCTCTCTTTTTTAAACTTTTTATTGTGAATTGAGTGAAGGTTTACAAAACAGATCATTAGTTTCACATTCAACAAATCCTACATTTTGTATTATTATGATGATTTCAATGCTTTCCATATGTTTCTTTCTGTATTGGAATTTGGATCACCCATAAGTTAATCCTTTTTATGGTGTCCCACATGAATCTCAAGGTTTCCTCTTATTTCTGTATGCTTTCCTTCAGATTGTTATTCTAGCCCATTAGCAGTGAGAGATTTATCATCATGGTCATTAATTTGGGCTTATATTGATTCAAATCTATATTATTTCTCTTCTGAATTTCTATTTGCAGGTTTTGTAGTGTTTCAAAATTTGCACTTATTTTGTCCATTTATTCTTTTATTTCCCCAAGACTGTAATCTCTTTTTTTATTATTATCGTTTTTATTGTGAATTGAGCAGGTTTACAGAGCAGACATCAGTTTTACATTAAAAAAAATCATACACTTTGCTTCATTACATGGTTGCAATTCCCTCCATGTACAGTATTTTCCTCTATTCACTTTAACTATTGCATTCCATGATGTTTTTTGTGTTATCCCACAGCTGGCTGATATTCATCATTGATATCTAATTCGTCAAATCTTTTCTTGAGATGGTCTCTAAATTCAGATGGGATATGTTCAAGGTCATATTGTGGCTCTTGTGGACTTGCTTTTATTTTCTTTAGCTTTAGCCTGAACTTGCATATGATTATGTCTATTCCATAATCTGCCTCTGACTTTGTTTTGGCTGATGAGCTTCTTTCTCCACCATTGAGATAGCAAAGAGATTGTCTGATGATTTCCGCATTCCGTTGCCTTTTATGTTGTTTAAAAGGTATTTGCAATGAATAAGTTGTTGGTCTTAAACTATTTTATAATTTATACTTATATAAATATATATGATTAATATATAATTATATACAATTTATAATTTGGTCTCCATCATCATTTCTGTCACCACTGCTTGTTTTCCAACTACTCATCCTTCCTGTTTGTTTCCAACTTTTGCAATCTAATCACCACAATTGTAATAATTAATACAATCAAGATTGCATGCTTGATTAATTTTAGACTGAAGAAGTTAGTAGAATTTAATTTTATCATCATTGGCTTTAGTAGTTGGTGTTTAAAATTGAACAATAATGATATTATTAACTGATCTTCCTTGTAAGTGTATGGATATTATTATAGACAGCAGTGTACTTTTAGATCTTGAAATGATCTTTTTGATGATAAATGCAACACTATTCCTTTTCATTTTGTCATTCCCAGTGTAGTAAACCATATGATTTTCAGATTCAAAATGGCCAATGCCAGTCCATTTCAGTTCACTAGTGCCATTTCATTTTTGACAGCCTCCATTTTGCTTGATTCATTCTTCATGCATTCCATGTTCTGATTACTAATGAATGTTTGCAGCTGTTTCTCCAGATTTTGAGCTGTGCCCCATACTAAAAACTTTATTCCATTTGTGTCATCATGGTCAACTCTACGTTGAGGAGGCAGCTCTTCCCCAGTAATAGTTTGAGTGCCTTCAAACCTGAGAGGCTCATCTTCCAGCACTATATCTGACAATCTTCTGGTGCTGTTTGTAATTTTTTCATCTTTCTGACAATGTTCTGCTGCTGTTCAATGTTTTGAAGATATTGGATTTAGGTGATGATCTTGGTTCCTTTTGATGTGTGTGTTTATTGTTGTAAATTTTCCTCTGAGCACTGCTTTTTTGTGTGTTTGTGTATCTCAAATGCTTTAGTATGTTGTGTTTTCATTCTCATTTGACCCAATGTATTTTTAAAAATTTCTTCTATTACCCAGTGGGGTCCTGGTGTGGCACTGTAGGACTTGCACTATACTGCTAATTTCATATTTGTCAATTCAAACCCACCAGCCACTATATAAGATTTCCTTGGAAATCTTATATAGCGTTGCTATGAGTCAGAACAAACTCAACAGCTTTTAGCAACAACATAACCCAGTATTTTTTAAGCAGATTGTTATTAAGTTTCCGTCGTTTGATTTTTTTCCTTTCTCTTCTCATTGATTTCTTATTTTATAGCATCATGATCTGAGAATATGCTTTGTAATATTTTGTTGTTTTTTTACATTTATTGAAGTTTATATTGTGGCCTAACATATTATCTTTTCTGGAGAATGTTCTGTGTACATGTATACTGTGCCGTTGTTGGGTTGTGTGTTCTGTGTATGTCTATGAGGTTGACTGTGTTTAGTTCTTCTTTGTTTTTGTTGAGATTTTTCTAGTTGTTTGTATTGCCCTTCATCAGAAGTGGTATATTAATGTCCTCTACTATTATTGTAATGTTGCCTATTATTTCTCTCTTCAATTCTGTTAGATTTTGATTTATGTATTTTGTGGCTCTTTCATTGTGTAGATGGGCATTTATTATGGTAATATCCTTTTGTTCAGTTGACACTTTAATCTGTATATAGTGTCTTTTCTTGTCTCATATAAGTTTTTGCCTTAAATTCTATTTTATGAAATTAATATTTGCCATTTTTCTTTTTGATTGCCATTTGCTAAATATATTTTTTCTATCCTTTGATTTTAAGTCTATTTTTATCTTTTTATCAAAGATATATCTCTCGTAGACAGCACATTGATGAATCCCATTTTCTTTTCTGCTACTCTCTCTCTCTTAACTGGTGCATTTAATTCATTTACATTTAGTATAATTAGTGACAGGTATGAATGTCGTTTTGCTATGTGTTTTTTTTTTGTGTGTGTGTGGTAATGTTGGTTTCTTTGTTCCACATAATTTACTATGCTGAGTTTATATTGTTTGTGGGCTTGCTTTGCATGTCCTTGTTGCTGTTCATGATTTTATGTGCCTGAAGAGACAAACTGCATCTAAGTTTGTTGTTGTTGTTCTTAGATGCCATCAAGTCGGTACTGACCCATAGCGACCTTATGCACAGCAGAACAAAACACTGCCCGATCCTGGGACAACCTCACCACTGTTGCCACACTTGAGTC